TGGACTGTAACTGACCTTCGGGGGAGTTCTACTTGAGCTCAGAAGGAGGAAGATTATCACGTTAGATTTAACCTGGGAACATTCCCAGTGCATTCTGCAATGTTGGGGGTTTCTGGAGGACCGTGCATTTGTGTCTATTTTCCTCTTGATTTCGTTATAAACTAGAATAAAAGAAACCTCAAAAACAGTTTCTTTCATTTAATTTATGAGTAACTTTCCTAGTGGGTTAGCAGAGCAAGTTGTGAAACCTGCTTTCCCCCGTCTAGCAGGAGCGTGTGCGTCTGTGTTCGTGAGGAATTTATGTGAGGAAACCACTCCACGGGTGTCCCTGGGGTCAGCGGAGGGCTATGAAGACATTTCTCCAGAAAGCCTTCACTTGAGGAATTCAGTGATCAGAAGTGCCAGACAGGCTACTGCTTTAGAGTAAATTTTGCTTACGTCTCAGGCAGGTAAGGGCGGTGGGGGCAGGGGGGGATTGTTTCTTAAACACCATTTGAAAAGAATGCAGTGTATTAATTTGCCAGCTTATACTAACCAGGAGTTCCTGCCGAGGTCCCACGTGATAAATCAGAAAGAAAGAACTGACCTCACAGGCCATCTGTAGTCGGGAGAAAACTGACCCCCACAACAGCGTCCACCATCATTTTCTTTGCCAGTGAAGCTTGTGTTTCCTGTTACATAGGACCAGCCCTAACAGGCAGGACTTGACATTTGGTAGGGACCCAATAAATGCAGAACACATCAATGTCAGTTTCCCGGAAGACGAGGGTTTTAGGAGGCACACTGCATTGAGCGTTGGCCAATAATCACTTGCCTTTTTAAAATCCAGCAGGCAGAGCTTGGCTTTCTCTCCAAACTGCCACTTGCACTGTGTGTTTGCATCATATAACTCTCCCGGCAGCTGCTCAGGGTACTTGTACTCCTTCACGGGCTTTGGCTGATCAGCAAGGCACACAGCCTGGGCAGTGCTGAAACAAAGAGGAGACGGGGCTGCTGGTGATGCCAAAACAGTTACCAAAGATGTACATTCAATCGTGCTTTTTTTCCCTCCAGCAGTTTTACAGTGCGTCTCGTATAAAGAAGAGGGGCCGTTTTTCTCCTGAGGGCTAATGTAACAATTATCTTCGTTATATTTAAATATAGGGGCCACATTTTCCGAAATTATTCATAACACATTTCATCTTTTCTGGGAAGGCAATCTGTTCTTTGTGGGATTTCTCAAGCTCATCACGGGGAACGTGAGATGGGGTCATACAACCAGATGTCCCACGCGAGGAGCTCCTACTAGGGATACATTTACAGGTACGCTTCTTGCCAGGAACAATAAAAAGATGAAAAAGGGCATTGTAAATGGAAAAACACAATCTATCAATTTCAAAGACTGGGATTTTCTTTCTTCCTTCCCTCCTTCCTTCCTTTCCTAGGCCAGAGGAAGCCTGCATGATAGCTTCCAGCTTCCAGAAATTCCACGTGAAACACCGCCATTGATTTCCCCCTGAAATGCTCTACGCTCAGGCTAATTTCTGACTAGATTCCCAAGGCCAGAAGAAAATGAATTCCTGCTTAAGTTCACTAGCAGATGGCGAAAGACCAACGAACTATTTCCTCCTCCACAAATAGGGTATCCTCTTCCCTACCAGAGACATGCTTCCGTATAACTTTCGCATTTGGCACAAAGAGTAACAAGTGTTTGCAAATAGCAACTAAATTCTATTTATACATTTTGATAGGCAAAAATTAAAAAAAAAATCACCTGTGCAATCACAAGAAATTTAATAACAGTGGACGTGCCTACGCAACCCCAGACTTCCCTGTGTGTGGTTGTCCACCTTGATTGAGAGCTTTTTGGCCCCAGTCTCCAGGGCGCTGGTCCCAGGTTCTACTGCCTTGGCGCCCACTGATGCATGTCCTTAATTACCATCCGCCTACACAGAACATGAAGGACGGCACCGGGCACTGTGGAGGGGACATTCATCACATGCAAGGCAGTCAGCAGCCTTTCAGTAGATTAATCAAAGGCTAGGGAAGGGCTAGGGGCAGTGACTGGCTCGCTGTAAGTGTTTGGTTAATGACCTATTACTGCTATGATGATCAGGATGCAAGGGTCTGTAAGCAAAGAAAAATGAATAAAAGCATAATTAATGCTCCAGGACAGGCCTGGTCTGGCAGCTTCGGAATTCCATAGCACTGCTCTCGAATGATCTCAAACGATTCCAACATACTAGGTAGATGTCTCCCATTATCTCCATGAAGTTACACCAGGACTGGCAATATGATCTCCATTCCACAGACAGGAAACTAGGGAAAGTCAGCTAAACTGATTAACCCGAGCGAGAGATTGAATTCTTTTTTTCTTTTTTTTTTAAAAGTTCACGGTTCAAAATCTTTTTACAGTTTGGGTTACTAGAACCCATTACTTATTATTCAGCCTCAAAACTTAATTCAAAGAGGATCTCCACTTCTGACAATGGGGGATCAGCACACATCAGACTGATTGTTCTGTAAGCATCAGAAAGCTCTCCAAGTAAAAAGGACATAAGGGATGAATATTTCCAGGGCAAAGGAAGGTGGAGACGTGAACCCAAAATCGAGTACTGTTTTTCTCCTCAAGGAATTTGGGAAGTCCTAAAAAGATGTTAAGACACCAAAGAGCAGGATGGAAAGCAGTAGTTAAGAGGCTGAGAAGCTAGACAAGGTTTTGGCAACCCGGTGGGACTGCTAGATGAAGACTGAAATCGTGGGTCTGCCAAAAAGAAGGGGCTCTGGTAAAGAGAACGTTCACTGAAGCCACAATAGATCTATAGTAGGAGCAAGAGCAAACTTAACAGACTGATTTAGAAAGACTAAATGCCAGGTAGACATGAGCTCAATCCCAAGGTGACTTATAAACTGTAACTCCTTTGTCTGCTAGAAATCAAAGATAGTCTCATTCGGAGCTTTATTTTTGTCTTTAAATTTTTCCTGAACAAAACCTTCCATTTGTTCAAAATTACCGAGTGTACTAGGAGGTGAGACCAAACAATTGAAACCCAAGAGCATATACAAATAATAGCTGCAGACTCATAAGGAATCCAGATACTGGAGTGGTTAGAAATGGAATTTAAAATTATTGTGGTTATTAGATTTGGGAAAACAGATTTTTAGATGGAGAATTTCACCAGAGAAATAATATATATATATATATATATATATATATATATATATATATATATACACACATATATGGTGTATTGTGAGAAGCTCTAATATTTATATAACTGGAAGCCAAAAAGGAGAGGACAGAATGAAAGAGTCAGAATCAATATTTGTAAACAAAATGTCTGAACATTTTCAAAAACTGGTGAAAGACAATAAATCGTAGATTTAAGCAGTTCTAAAACCCCAAGCAGGAGAAAGAAGAACACAAATGGATACACAATAGGAACTCTGCAGAAAACCAAAGTCACAGAAAAATGTCAAAGCTAACCTGAACACAAGAGACATGTAAATTTCCAAGGCGCCAGAGCAAGTAAGCACACGGCCGTGAGGATGAGGTCAAGTGCACAGACTGGGAGCCGGGAAGAGCCTGTGCAGGGGGCAGATGCAGGAACACACACAGCAACACTGCGATGTGAGAGTCAGCTCTGGTCAGCATCGCATCTGGAAGGATGAAACTCCATGTGTAGGTGACACCCTGATTCCTCCAACTGGGCTCCTGCTTGGCCATGTGTGTTCTGTCCCCTTAGCAGGAACAGGTCACGTGGCTAAGCCCGGAGTCAGCGAGGTGGGTGCAGGGGTACAACAGGGAGTGGATGCAAGAAGGAAAAACATCTCAGCCACTTTAAAAATAATCACCCAATATCCACAAGACTCTCATGCATGCCCGATACAAGAGTCAGGTGGCCTGCATGCGATGAGCAAAACAATACAGCTTGCAGGAGATCATGCGGGAGAATATATTCATGTCTTTGGGGTAAGCGAGTTTTTGTTGTTGTTTTTTTTTCTCAGCAGGGCACAAAAAGTGCTAATCCTAAAGGAAAAATATGAACTGTTTGGAGTCCATTAAAAACATAAAAAATCCTTCCATTTATCAGTTTATCAAGAGACACTATTAAAAGTGTAAATACTAAGTCATAGAGTGAAAGAAGATATTTGCAATACATATTGTTCATAAAGAATAAAGTGTTCAGTTTCATCATTTGAAAAAATTTTCTCCCATTCCATAGGTTGTCATTTTGTTTTACTTATGGTTTCCTTTGCTGTGCAGAAGCTTGTAAGTTTCATTAGGTCCCATTTGTTTATTCTTGCTTTTGTTTCTATTGCTTGGGTAGACTGCCCTAGGAGAATATTTTTGAGAAATGTATGTCAGATGATGTTTTGCCTATATTTTCTTCTAGGAGGTTTATTGTATCTTGTCTTATGTTTAAGTCTTTTATCCACTTTGAGTTTATTTTTGTGTGTGGTGTAAGGGAGTGTTCTAGCTTCACTGCTTTACATGCTGCTGTCCAGTTTTCTCAACACCATTTGCTGAAGAGACTGTCTTTATTCCATTGTATATTCTTGCCTCCTTTGTCGAAGATTAGTTGACCAAAAGTTTGTGGGTTCATTTCTGGGCTCTCTGTTCTGTTCCATTGGTCCATATGTCTGTTTTTTGTACCAATACCATGCTGCCTTGATTACTGTAGCTCTATAGTATTGTCTGAAGTCTGGGAGAGTTATTCCTCCAGACTCTTTTTCTTCAGTAATGCTTTGGCAATTCTAGGTCTTTTGTGGTTCCATATAAACCTTATTATGATTTGTTCTAGTTCTGTGAAATATGTCCTGGGTAATTTGATATGGATTGTATTAAATCTGTAGATTGCCTTGGGCAATGTGACCATTTTAACAATATTGATTCTTCCAATCCAGGAGCATGGGATATCTTTCCATTTTTTAAAGTCCCTCCTGCACTGCTGGTGAGAATGCAGTTTGGTGCAGCCATTTTGGAAAACAGTATGGAGATTCCTCAAAAGACTAGGAATAGACTTACCATATGACCCAGTAATCCCACTCCTGGGGATATATCCAGAAGGAACCCTACTTCAAAAAGACACCTGCACCCCAATGTCCATAGCAGCATTCTTTACAATAGCCAAGACATGAAAACAGCCTAAATGTCCATCAACAGATGACTGGATAAAGAAGAGGTGGTATATTTATACAATGGAATACTATTCAGCCATAAAAACGACAACATAATGACATTTGCAGCAACATGGAAGTCCCTGGAGAATGTCATTCTAAGTGAAGTAAGCCAGAAAGGGAAAGAAAAATACCATATGAGATCACTCATATATGGAATCTGAAAAAAAATTAACATAAATACAAAACAGAAACAGGCTCATAGACATAGAATACAAACTGTGGTTGCCAAGGGGGCGGGGGGTGGGAAGGGACAGACTGGGAGTTCAAAATTCACAGATAGGCAAATGCAGAATAGACAAAAAAGATTATACTGTATAGCACAGAGAAATATATACAAGATCTTGTGGTAGCTCACAGTGAAAAAAAAACTTGACAGTGAATATATGTATGTTCATGTATAACTAAAAAATTGTGTTCTACACTGGAATTTGACACAAATTGTAAAATGACAGTAACTCAATAAAAAAGTGTTATAAAAAAGGGGTTAAGTGTTCAGAGTATATAAAGTACTCCCATCATAGGAGATAAGAAAAATAAGAGAGCCTAATTTAAATAAATGCACAACAGATTTGCACTGGCACTTTACCAAAGAGGTTTTTCAGGTGGTCATTAAACATGTAAAAATGTATTCAGCCTCATTCATTACCACTGTGCCCCACCACTACAGACCCACAGATTAGCTACAATGAAAAAGATCAGCAAGATCAAGTACTGACAAGGATCTGGAGCATTTGCATGTTCATAACTGCTCATGGGGCTGTAACTTTGCATAATCTCTTAGAAGCTATTTGGCAGTGTCTACTGA